CTCCTAAGGGTAATCGACAATCCTGATCACGATTCTAGACTTTATTTTCGGTTCCAGTGCCATCTGGCACCGGCATAGCGCCGAAGAGCTGAGTCTGTGCATACTAACGAATTCGAACGAAAAAGCAGTTTTGCTCCATAAAAGTAGGATTGTTCAGCTTTATATCGTTAATGTTTTTGTTAGGACCAATTATTTAGACAAACATGGATCCAAAAAATGAAAAATTGTAGAAAAGCAAAATTTTGTCCTCGGTGGGATCCGAACCATCGACCTATTTTTTAACGTTTTTTTTTATTCAAATTTCCGTGCGCATCAGAGTTTATACGAAGCGCGCAGCGAAAATGAACCTCAGTTTTCTGGTCCTCGTATGTGCCCCTACAATATGCACAAGACCATTTTGAAAAAGCTCACCACGCCCTGAACGACCTCCCTTGTTAGGCGCAAGCTGTCCATGTCAAACCGTGAGCAATGAGAACACGTTTTACGTCTCACCTAATAGCTGTGATGTGGATAGAGGGTTTTGAAGGAGAAGTTCTAGGTGATGTTCTGGTGAATTTCGTAATTTTTCCACTGATTATTTCAGGCTTCCATCACCAAAGGAGGGTCGTCCCACTCCGGTAGGATTGGGCATCATAATGGCTGCTAAGCAGCGCATATCTGGACATTGCAAAAGCCAGGCCTGATGACGTCACAATCCACACAGACACTCGCGTGGTAGGACTCACTTCATGGAATGCTTATGTCAATGGAGTGAATGTGATACAGGATGGGAAAAGAAGTAAGTTATGAAATACTGAAAAAGTAGTTTTTAAATTTGAAACGCTACTATTTGAAGAAGAAATCAATGGAAAGGCGGTGATTCTTGCAACTGGTGGATTCAGCGCTGACAGGAACGAGGACGCTAGTCTGCTGCATGAATTTGCCAGTGATAAGGTTTATTCAATCCTCTGGCTTTTGATAGGATTCACTGACCATTTTGTCAAAGGAGTCACAGTTTCAAATCAGCTTTTAGCTACGTTTTCCAACCACTAATGGTGCGTTTGCTCGTGGTGATGGGGTGAAAATGGCACGTGCTATGGGTGCTCAGGTTCGAATATTCGTAATGAGTTTTATTCTCAACTTTTTTTACCTTCTTGACTCAGCCTCTTTGAGAGCCTAGGTATCTAAATGAGGGATACGCGCCGAGACAAGGCGCGTCCGCTAGTAGTTATTTCAGCTTACAATTCCTAGGTAATTGGTATGGATCGTGTTCAAATACATCCAACTGCATTTGTCGACCCGGCTGATCCTTCAGCTGGTACGAAATTCCTTGCCGCTGAAGCGCTTCGTGGCAAAGGTGCTATCCTTGTGAGTAACCGATCCTGACATTGAGTTTCTCGACTCTTGATTGACTGCTTTTCAAAAGATTCTCTCATTTATGGTGTAGTATGTTCTCAAAACCGTCCAATAATCGAATTTCTGAAGAATGTTCGCGGAATCCTGAAAATTCCTGAAACTTCAGATAAACTCGGAGGGTGTCCGATTTGCCAATGAACTTGGTAGACGAGACTATTTGACCGACAGGATTCTAAAGGACTGCAAACCTATTGAAAAGTTCCAGGTAGAGTCCCCTTGAGTACTTGATGCTCTATTAGTTCTCGTACTGATAGCCACATTCAGGGAGGGTCAGCTGGTCTGTCAGCAGCAATTATGTTGATGAACGATGAGGCGGCAGATTCATTCGGAAGACCGGCGTTCAATTTCTATGCAAGCTTCAAGAAATTCTTTACGGTGAGGGCTCTTTTGAGAATATGTCTTCAGTTTCG